AATCCTCTTACGGGGGAATGTCTGTAAAAACTACAAGTTGTAAATTATGCTTAGGCTTAGGCCAAAGCTCTGGACCCACTGAGAGCTCAGTAAGTATGTATGAATGAGAAAACGGGGTGATGGTGGTTTATGCAGACAGAACAGGCCACACCCACTGTCTGCAAAGCAAAAGTACTAGGTTTCTGCTGGTTCATAAGGGATCAGTGAATTCTTCAGACTAGAACTCATCAGTCTAGGCCTGAGGAAAGCAACTCTAGGAGGGTGGGTGCACACCTGGCCCACAGGGCTTCAGGTCAGACACACACATTCAACTTTTGTGCACAATCTGTACGCCAAGAACAGCTAACTAGGGATACAAAATCATACTCAAGGGTTTCTTTTTTTGAATCATCTCTTTTACTACTGCTGTAAAGGTCTACTGACTTTATGAGACCTGAAACCTTGAGGGGAGCATTCTTCTTTGTAATTTGAGGTGGCTAACCAAGGCACTACCCACTTGATAGCAACTAAGATGTCATGTTCTGGACCAGCCTCTCTGAGATGAATAATCTCTCATATTTGAATCTGCTAACCAAATTATGAAGGCTTGCTGTAGGGTTCCTTAAAGAAGGAACTTTCCAAGCTCATGTTATTTATAAACAATTACTTGAGAGAGATGGGTTGAAAATCAGAGTACTAATCAGAAGCAAAGCCAAAGCATTGCTTAGGCATGGTTGAGGTCAATGGGCACAAGGAATTAAGAGTTTTATACTATTCTGAGAAACAAAGTCATCTAAACTTGGCTTTGGGATACTGTGATGAATTTAAGGCCATGTTTAAAAGCCAAAGAATCTTGTAACATTGTTACAAATGACCAGCAAGTCTGCAAACTGCTGCTCCATCTTATGTTCCAACTTAAACCTCTCTCCACCTCAGCCTGGACCTGGGGCTTCAGTTAACCATGTCTCAGGGAGAGAGCTATTTGGGGTTTTTCAGTGCCTAGTGAAACTTCAAAAAAGAGCAGGGAGTGAGTTCCCTGGCGGTTCAGTGGTTAGGTCTCACCGCTGTCACTGCCGGGGCCCATGTTCAATCCCTGGTTGGGGAACTAAGATCCTGCAAGCCGCATGGCAAAGGTTCCCTGATCCCCTGCCTCCCCAAAATAAATAAGAGGATGGGAAAGCCTGACCCTTATGCCGGAATTAACACCAGCTTTAGCATATAATTCTGGGAAAGTTTCATACCTGGCATTTTACTTATTGCACACGAAATCAATTTTGCATGTACCTCCAAAATTGTGTCTGCAAATAAGGGAGACATGGCAGCTCTCTCATGCTACAAAACAGATACGCTTGTTAAACAGCTTCTAGCACTCACTCCTGTTACACTCAGATAGTTTTTTACCCATTACTGTGCTAACCATATGAGACTCCAGTTACAGTACACTTACCTATTTTACCAGACGCTTTCTGTGGCTGGAACTTCATTCAGAAGACCCCCTTTCGCCAACCACCTCCTCCCACTATCTTTCCTCTTGACCACCTTTCCTCATATAGCCTTAAAAAGAGCTATGAGATTCTGAAGTCTGCGAGGCTCCCAAGAGCCATGGAGTAAAATACACAAGTGGATCACTTGCTATGAGGGGTCATCGAGAGAACTCTGGGAACTCCTTACTTTTAACTATGGCCCACAGACCAGAGAGAGGCTTATAATAAAATCTCTTTGTACGTCACTGAAAACTCAAGTATCAAGAGGGAAAAAACTGGGGGGGGAGGGGGGCGGATAATGGAACGGATGGATTTTTGTCTTGCTTCTGTTAGTCTAGTAATGGACTGTAATGGAATCTGCTTTCCTAAACTACATTTCTTTGTGGGTCCTTCATTGGGAAAGTGTCCTTCTCTTATATTGCCTGAGTCTAATTATAAATGAAATAAGAATCTACTACATAACCTAGGCTTCAACTCTGTGGTTTAAAAAGAAAAATAAACAAAAGACTGATACAATCTAAATACAAATCCAAATATTTCACTGTAACCAATCAAAGAACTCATATCTTAGGACCATGGTCATAAAAGCATAGGCATTTCTATTTGTTCAAGAGAGCTTTAGTGTTTTAGAAAACTAAATGAATGAAAACCACCTGAGTACATCATGAGGTAGATTCTACTATTTCAGTCAAATTCCAAAATTCCATTGTTCTCAGTGATTAAATATCCAGGAGTGGGAAGCCCACGAATCCCTACCCACAGTTACAATTTAACAGGAATTAACTTCTGGATTCTTAAAACACAGTATATTCTAGTCCATATATTTACACAGAAATAGAAACAAATATAGTTTCAACATCCCCTGCAGGTCTTCCTCTTCACTAGTTTTTTTGGGAGGTGGGGGAGAAAGGTGTTCTAGAAGAATCATGACGTTAAATTTCTTCCCAGAGTATCTTGAGCAGAAAGATTTAAATGATTTCTATACAGGAAGTAAAGACAAGCACTGCAGAACACTTAGAAACTTACACGCTAGACAA